CTCAACCTTGGAAACTTGAAGATGTGTGGACTTAACCCCCCAGAATTCCCTAGCCAGCCATGGCTGGCTGGGGAGTTCTGGGAGTTGAAGTCCACACATCTTCAAGTTTCCAAGGTTGAGAAACACTGCTCTAACAGGAGAGAAGTGCTGAGTGTAGGCGAGTCATCCTTTAGATGCTGAAAAGGTATGTAAGACACACCCTCAGCCAATAACTCAGGAGGTTCTGGGCTGACTATGGTGAGAAGCAGCAGGACGGGAGTGAGACGATTGAGAAGTAGGACTGGAATGGGGAGCAGCTTCTCCTCCTCTTACAGGCAGGGTGAGAGGCCAGAAAGAACCCTCAGAATTATTGCCACGCCAAGGGAAAGCGGGCCAACTTTCTCCACTTCAGCAAATGGGGAAGGCTCAGCTTTCAACAGCATTTTTCTCGCTGAACACACCAAGAGTTACCATCTGTGCTGGGCAGGAGGAAGGAAAGGAAACCTGACATTCTCTGAAGTCCTCTCTCACCGAAGGCCAGAGAAGGCCTAGCTGTTCCTGTTTTGAAGACAAGGTTCCTGGACACCACCATCAATAGCCTGCATAGCTCAACAATTTGGAACAACCTAGGTCCAGCTACCCCAACCACCCCTCCCTATTCTGGCTCTTCAGGAAGGCCTTTAGGGACGTGTAAGGCCATATTATGTCCTGAGGGGTAGGATGTCAGTTGGACTGCATTTTCCATGGGAATAGATATTATTAGCTTTTCACCTTACTGCCTGTTCTATTAAGCCAGAAGGAATCTGACAGCACCTTTTCCGACTAACACATTTGATTAAAAGGCAGCCGTTTCCACGAGCTTGGAAAAGGTGCTACTAGGCTCCAGATTTTTTGCCACCAAAGACTAACACGACTCTCCTCTCACACTGTGGTGATACTGTCAACTGCTCCCAGTCTCTGAAAATGAAGTGCCACACAAATCATTGCAGCTCCAAGCCAAGATTTGATTCCTAGTGATCTAGTGGGCATCAGCACTCAGATTTCAGTTCCTTGTATTCCTTCTCCCCATGCGGGCCTCTCATATCAGCAGTGCCTATTGACCAGGACTACGGTACTGCCAGACAGCACAGTGTCTCTGCCGCCACCACCACCTACTGCTGCAACTTTTTTTTTCCTGCCAGGGACTCAGACAGTGGGCAGCAGGACAGCATAGCAGGATCCCTCTACACCTATTATTTCTCCCCATCTAACCTCACCTTCCATTGCTTTCTTTCTCTAGCTGCTCCTCTCCCAAATTATCAGGACAGCTAATTCTGACTCAAAGACCCACTATTTGGGAATACTTGACTGGCTAGTTGGGCAGGGGAGACAACTAATACAACTTTCTGTAATGGATTAGATCTCTCCTGCAGCTTATGTTTTTATGGTTTAATAGTTCTATTGTTTTTAATGACTATTCCTGAGTTTTTGTGGTTGTCTATAGATATATATGTATGTAGGTATGCACGGGGAGGGGTTTCTAACTCTGTAAGCTGCCCAGAGTCGCAGCGGCGAGAAATAAGCCTAATAAATAAATACATCTGCAAGCAGCAGGGCTGGTGAACACGCCCTGATATTAAGACACTCACTCAAACTCCGCCGTCCCCGTTGCTTCTTTAAACAGGCAGGGGGGATGAACAGCAGCAACGTCACCCCCCCACGGGGGCCCAAAGGGAAGCCCCGGGGAAAGGAGCCTCTTGGAAAGCAGAGGGGAAAGTCAGAAAGCCATGCAGGAGCTGGAGAACCAAGGCTATGACAGTCAGCCCGGTGCTTGAGCTCCTGCCTAAATCATAGCTCCGGGGTCTGCGTCAGGCTAAGTGAATTTAGGCGCGGGACCAGATTGCCAAAAGATGGAAATGCATGGGCGGTGCTGAGTGGGAAATGCTAAGAGTTCATACCGGGGCAGCGTTGCTCAACCTCGGCCCCTTGAAGAGGTGTGGACTCCAGCTCCCAGCTGGCTGGGGAATTCTGGGAGCTGGAGTCTACAGCTCTTCAAGGGGCCGAGGTTGAGCAACGCTGCATTAGACTCGGCAGCAGCATCCCCCGGCAGGACAGCCGATGGGGCTGCACACCTCCCCGCTACAAGAGCCCCAGGGCGCCCTGACGGGGAAAGGCCTTCAGGTGGGCAAACGGAGGCCGCGCGGGGAGACGCCAAAGGCCTTTTCCAGAGCGGCCTCCCAGGGGAGCCTTGATCCCAGTGCGGGGCCCGCATGCGGGTTCCTGGGTGCTCCTTAAGCGAACGCCACCCAGTCGCTCGGCCTCTCGGTCGCCTGACCCGGGTAGACTTCCTCGGGCGCTGGAGGCTCTGCCCAGCTCGGATCTCCTCGGAGGGGGCTGGGCTGCGCGGGAGGCCTGCCCTGCGGGGCTGCTGGGGGGCTCCTGAGGAGAGGGGCCAGGCCCCCTTCCCCTCGCGCCTCGCCTGGGGAGGACGAGCGAGCCGCTGCCCTCGGCAGGCTCGGCGCAAAGGGCGGCGTCGGCCGACC